CTACAATACGTACCTTCTTTTCTTTTGGGAGCCATGTCACCTAAAACCACCATAGATGAGAACATGGATTCAAATCTACCCATGCATAAAGCCAAATTGGGCAACAGCAATGTACACAAGGAAGCTATCAGAAAACTTTAGATAATCCTAAGGATTATAAATACTTTAAAAAGTCTTGGGGAAAAAAGGACTGCCTCGTTGAACAGCATGAAAGCTGTGTCAGGGGACGTTTACAACAACAAAATATAGTTGAGTGGCCATGACTAGGTCTTCCACATGCATTACATTAACACACGGGTGGGAAATCTGCAGCTTTTCAGATGTTGATGGACTTCAGCTCCCATTAATGCTGACCACTGGCCATGCTTCCTGGGACAGCTGCTAGTTAAGCCTAGGAGGCCACAGGCTCCTACCGGGACACTAACAGAAAAGTCATCTTTGCATGGGAATATACTGCAAAGATTTCTATTGTTATTTAATTCCTTACAAGTTTGACAAAATCCATTGCAGTACATGCAATTTGAAAAGCAACAGCAAAAAGCAAAAAAGACAGCACTCTTCCCATTAGATCTGTACTAAAGACTTGTTGGCCACACCTGTTTTTAACCTGTCTACTGAATCCATCATCAAGCTTAAACAGGAAAGGTTTGTTTTTATTTTTGTCCAGAGTTGCTATGCAAGAAGAAAGAACATAAAGAGAAAATACATGCAATGTTGCAGATGATTAGCTAGTTAAAAACATAACACAGTTTATTCACTAAAAAGGTGCTACTAATCCATCTTTTCAACCAAGAGATGGGGAAGCACAGTGCATTTAGGCTACATTTCCTCAGTTTTCTTAGTCCTTTAGGTAAACAGCACACACTAAATACCATTTTGTACAACTCAAAAGCTTCTGTACTGCAAATTCCATTCAAATACTACCTATATGTTGTCTTTAATGAAATGCCTTGTTTTACTGAACCTGTGAACTGTGTTTTGATGGGCTACCATGGTTATTGCATGGTTTTCTTTTAAGTACAGTAATATGTATGGCTTCTCCAGCTTTAAAAAGAGTAATTTGATTCATATGAGTGAGTTATTTTGGGGAGAAGTAAATACGTAGAATAGCACACACTGAGACGGTTAGCAATTAACATTACTAAGAACATTACAAGTGTAAACAGTTGTAGCTGAGTTATCAACTTCACACACCCATTTCTCAAGAAGTCTTACTGAGATGTTTCTCTGCAGACAATAAGCTGTACTACACAAAAACAGAAGAGAGCTTACAATGTTTTGAATGTTTTCAAGCACCTATCTTAATGGAAAGAAAGTGGTATGGGGATTGAAGAACAAAATTTTATTAGACTGAAAACCTGTAGGGCTTTTTCCCCTGTGGTGAACCTTTGAGAATGACACCCTACTAATTCCCTACACCACAAATATAAAATTGGAAACTGAACAAAGATCTCCCTGTCTACTTGTTAACTTCTACTCATTGGGTGCTTCCAGAAGGAGTGCTGTTAACATTGAAATACATTGTGCAGCTATTCTATCCTTTCCCCCAATGGATTTGATAGGAGGGCTACAAGAGGATCATAATGACTTCTGAGACCCTTCCCCCATTCAACAAATACAGCAAGGTAATTGCACAATAAAAACCCCAACTTTGAAGGTACCAACAGTGAAGAAAGTTGGAAGGAGGGAGGATGCAATCCCAGGATTAAAGAAAGAGCCCCAGACAGGACGTTAAAGAAAGCTGCTGAGCTCATATCTAACACCCTACCGGAACAAAATCTCTTTTATTAAAAAAATAGCAACAGTCAATAATTCTACCTGACATAATCACTCAAGAGGCACCAAAGAGGAGCACAAATGAAAACCAACTCTCCACTTTTGAAATGTCTCAGAGCTTTTCATAAAAATGTAAACCACTGTAGACTGTACCTGCATTTGTTTCATTGCCAGCCATGTCCTGCAAGATTATTCTTAGCTACTTTACTCTATATTGCTAACCTCTCCTTAGTCTCCAGGAAACACTAGGCAGCAGTATGAGACAGGAAATGACCTAAGCCTCTGTAAAGAGGTTAACTCAATGTTTTCTGGGACTTGTAGTTTACTCTAACCAATCTGTACTGTACTACTGTGGCATATACTTTTATTGTGACTTGCCTCTTAATTGCCCTGTCAATAGCCTACTGGTAAGCTACATACTTACAACACAGCAAAGACAAACTTCTCAGTATTCCAGTGTTATAATGTCTGCAATCCAGCAGAGCCAAGGAAGGTGTGAAAAGACAAATTGGTTAAAATTAATATTTAAAAATGTGCATTTATTAGCAAAATCCAGGTTGCTAAATTTTGCTCATTTCTTTACTGAAAATGGAGGGGGGGAGAGAATGGGGTTGGTATATTGTGTATACACTATACATATTGTAGACTGACAAACTGATTAAACAGAAAAAGAATAAATTCAAATCTAATCTCTAGTTTCTCATCTCACTAGATACAGTGTTTCAAGCTGACTGACAGACAAGACAGAAATATCATACATGATAAAAAGTTTTTCAATATTCTGAAAACATATAAAGTAACTCATAGCAAGAAACCCACAATCTAAAGCAGCAGCAATTGAAACTAATAAACCAAAAGAAAAACAAACAAAAAAAGAAAAATAAATCTGGCCCCCAAAGCCCCTCAGAGTTGTGGTGTACCATAAGCAAAAAGCCCCAGGTTCTGACAGATCTCTGCTGAGCTTCAGCCAGCAGGCACAGAAGGTCTCTGATACTGAGCAAAGAGTGCATAAGGAGGTACATAGAGAGCAGGGCAGGTCACAATTTGCTTAGGGCTTTAAATGTAAGAATCAGCACGATGAAGGGAGCCTAGAAAGTGTCAGATCTTCCACACTGACTGTAAAAAAAGTCAGAATCTCTCTGACTAAGCTTTGTCTGTTTATTTTGCCTCAGTTTTCGAGAAGAAAACTAGGGAAGCAAACCCCATCCTAAACAAGTTATATAGGTAAAGGTTCCCCTTGACATTTAGTCCAATCATGCCCAACTCTAGGGCGTGGTGCTCATCCCAGTTTCCAAGCCGTAGAGCCAGCATCTGTCCGTAGACAGTTTCCGTTGTCACATGGCCAGCGCAATTAGACACAGAACGCCGTTACCTTCCCACTTTGGTGGTACCTATTTATCTACTTGCATTTACATGCTTTCGAACTACTAGGTTGGCAGGAGCTGGGACAAGCGACGGGAGCTCACTCCATCATGTGGATTTGATCTTACGACTGCTGGTCTTCTGACCCTGCAGCACAGAGGCTTCTGCGGTTTAACCCAAGTTATATAACATTTATACAATAAAGGACATTGGTATTCTGCTAGCAATTATATATATATATAGCACATATGCTCTTTGCTTCTGCCATTCTTTTGCATTGTTATTAATAAGACAAATTATGTACCTTTCAATGCAACCCTGCCTGATTCATGTATCTCTTGCTCTGCCTACTTGGAATATTATGCCTCTTGCCTTATGTTGTGTTAATTGTACTTTATTTATTCATCAAACTATGGTTCTTTCTTTGTGTTTTATTTTATTATGTTGTAAACTGCCCAGAATAGTACTTTGTGCTAATAGCTCAGTGAAAGAAAGAAAGACTGCACAAATACATACTTCTCTATTTCATATAGCAGGCATAACATAACTTTTTTTTTGTTATATGGATCCATTCAAAACATACATCAGCAAGAAGGGTTCTTTTGCTGTAATGGCCCAAATGGTTTTTACAGCCTATAGCCTCCCTAGTGGTTTATGAATTTGTATACACCTTTTAAAAGTCTTTAACATGATCTAGTCAGAAATGCTAAGTATGGCATACTATGCTCCTCTTCTTTGTTGAGCAAGAAGAAAGATGTAAAATTCTATCATGAATGAGGTTATATGACAGATAAACTTCATATCTTGAAAAAGATGAAATATAGCATGTCTACAGCAAGGATTGGCAATTTAAATCATTCTGGAAGCAGACACAGATAGCAATAAGCAAATTGTGTCACTTATGTAGCCTTTTAGACCCATTTTCCAATACAGTGGTGCCTCGCTTTACGATCGCTCCGTTTGACGAAACTGCATTACGATGAACTTTTTGCGATCGCTTTACAATGTTTCCTATGGGGGAAGTTCGCTTTGCGATGATCGGTTGCCTGCTTCGGGAATCGATTCTTCGCAAAACGATGATTTTCGGACAGCTGATCAGCGGTTTCAAAATGGCCACCAGGTAAACAAAATGGCCCCCCGCTGTTTTCTGGGATGGATTCCTTGCTGCACAGGCAGCGAAGATGGCTGCCCTATGGAGGATCTTCGCTGGACGGTGAGTTTCCAGCCCATCGGAACACATTAAACAGGTTTTAATGCATTTCTATAGGTTTTTAATTTCACTTTACGTTTTCGTTCTACAGTGATTTCACTGGAACAAATTAATGTCATAATGCGAGGCACCACTGTATTACCTGCCCCAGCCTATCCTCCACCATCTATTTTCCTATGGAGTTCCATGTTTATTCTCCAACTGAGAAATATCCAATCACTTATAAGTAAAAGCAATATCCCCTGGCCTGCCATTCATACTCAAATCAGGTGTCCAATGGAATCTCCCTTTATTCGAGGGGGTGGAGGTTTGGGGAGGGCAATTTCCCAGAGCTGGCTGGATCAGATCTAGAGGTTCCTTTCCCTGGTCTACAAGTAGTAATAGGAATAGTCTATGGTTGCAAAATCAGTCATTATAAGAAAGGCAGGTCCTCCCTCACCAGCTTTAGAGCATTGATGCATAATGTGAGCAAGAGCAGCAAATTTCAGTAACACAGCTTCCAAGATTTTTTTCCATTTTACAAAAGCTGGAGCAGTATACCCAGTAACGTAATGCAAGCAGGGAAGTCACAGTTAAGCTACTGAGAAAATACATTTAGAGATACAGTATATCTATATTATATTTAACTATATTGATATCAGTTTGACTCAACTGTGCAAGTGCAGAAGATACTGACCACCGTCTTGGGACAGCAGGTTGTTCAGGAATGGGAAATTGATCCTCTTCAGTTCATTGAGTTTTTCCTTTAACTTTCTAACTTGGCTATCTGAGCGGCTGATCTTTTGTCTCAACTGCTTCAGTTCCCCATTCTTCTTCTCTACCTGTTCTCTCAAACAGCACACTTGGCTTTTGTTTTGCCTAGAGGAGAAGCAATATGAATGGAGGGAGTCAATGAGCTTGCAAGCTCCTGAAGCAGACATGATTACCTCATTGATTGACATGGGGTTGGCATCAGTCTCTCCCTTCTGACCTACAACAGCTTCTGTTGCTGGTTTAGGAGTCAGATCTGCAGGAGAGGCAGAAATGGTCTGAGGAGGTTTCTGTGGGATAGCAGTGAGAGAGGAAGTTGAAGTGGCTTCTGTTAAAGTAGTGTTCTGATCTCCAGTGTTGCTACTACAGCTTGGTTCCATGGTTCTCCGTAACCGTTTTCTTTCTAATTGTTCCTTTGGAAGAGATGACCTCTCTCTAGTGTGCTTGGAGAAAAAGCTATATGAGTGAAGAGACCCAATAAATTTGCATGCCCCAGAGACTGGAGGTGTGAAGTCATCCGCTGATATACCACTTTTGTCCATTTTCAGGCACTCTGGATGGATAATCGTTTCAGTACAGTCATCTAGGGGTTGCTTTTCTGGCTTGCTCTGGACTACTTTTGTGACTAGGTTATCTGCCAACATCCTTCTCAGGGAACCTTCAAGCTGAACCTGAAAATGTTCTCCCTGCTCCGACATTGACCCAATTTCTGCTTGAAGAGTCACTTGTTCCATTTCTTTCATTCCTTCCACTATCAAGTGCTGGTCAGATGATAAGATTCCCACAATTACCTCATTGCTTCCTTCCTTTGACTGATTGTCATCTCCTTGTACAGTCTGGCTTGCTATTCTTCTCTTCCTCCTGACATGATCCCTACTGCTCCCCTTTTTTTCAGAATCCTGGAAAATAGTTGGCACAGCTGTAGGTTTCAGCAGCCGGTGCTGGTCTTCCAGCCGTTTCGAAAAGCTGTCTTTAGTGAAGTGCTCACTGCAGAGAAAGGAATATTTGGTGGGAGTCCAGTTGTCCCTCTGAACTGCTTTTAACCACTGGATCAATCGCTTTGAGTCCTTTAACGGAAACCTTCAGAAGAGCATAAAAGGAAAGGCGTTACTATGTATGTTTTCCCCCCCTGGATGCAAACTAATTTCATAAATCTTTAAACTTAAAAAAACCTGAATTTTGTAGAAGACAAGTTTTCTAAACCCTTGGTTCTTAACCTCTGGTCCGTGGAACCCCGGGGCCACACAATGTCCTCACAGGGGGTTCATGAAGGTGTGAAGAAAAGTTATGAGTTTTTGTAATTAAAACAGAAAGAAGAATGAATTTAAGAAAGCAAGAAAGAAAAGGAAATATAGAACAAAATCTTAATTACAAGACCCTTCATGAGAAACTTTAAATATTCAATACACTTTAGGGTTTTAAATTTTGAGTTGTCTTGGTGATCCATGGCAACAACAGATATTTGAAGGGGGCCCGTGGTAAAGAAAAGGCGTTGCTGTTTTAAACTACTTCTCCAAGTACAGAAATATGGAGGACTCATTTCATTTTCTAGAAAATGTCATATTAATATTGGACTATTTTAGCTCTGGACCTAACCTATTTATATATATTTAAAACTGAACACTTTTTATTTGTCCAATAATTTTCTTACAGGGAGGTATAATAAAAATAAAAACGCACATGCCCAAAGTTATAATAAAAATTAAAATACACATGCCCATGGTGTTAACAAAGTTAACACCAACATGCATGTACTTACTGGCAAACAAGTTTTGCAACACAACCAGGGGATTTGAAAATCAAAATGTCAGCAGTCTAATCAGAGTTTGGAAGAATTACTTTTTGAGGTTACAACTCCCAAATGTTAGCTGAGATACTGCAGTCCAAAAAACAAACTTTTTCAAGTTCTGTGCCTGATGCCCCCCCTCCCCCGGTTCCAGGGATACTTCCACTATAAGGGCACCACCATCATCAAGAAAGCCACAGCACTGACAAACTCTCATGGATTTTGAAATGGCTATTATTACCATAATCTAAGTAGCCCTGGCAGACCTTAAAGTACTGAGACTCAGCAGCTGAGCATAAACCTTTTCCGAAATACCATCCTGTCCTTGGCCTACAGAGAGTATCAACTGCAGGCCCAACACATATGCTCACAGGATGGTTAGTGATCCCAGAGTCCTCCAATTTCCCATAATATACCTTAGCAGCTTTCTCCAAAGCTAATCCACAAAGGGCTCTTTATGCTTCCCCCTCAACGCAGAAGCTATTCTAGAGTTTTCCCTCTATGTGCCAGAGCATTTGAGTGTGTCTGAATGAGAGAAAGACAGACATACAGACAATGGGATCCAAGCAATAAAAGCTGGCAGCAGAGTATACAAAGTGAGTACAAGAAAGATTGGCAGGGACACTGGAGAAAAGAAGGAAGTGGTGCCTCAGTTTAGGCAGGAGGACAGCTGAAAAACACTTTCTTACCTTAACTAGACATCAATACAGAAGAGTCATATAAGGAGAGGAATAATGCTAAATTCTATTTCCACTTTTTTCCATCACTGTACACTAAGTGTTGCTGGTGAAACTGTCCCAGGAATACACACTTCACTGTGGCTCAATTCAAAATACAGGCCTTGTTAAGCACTAGGGGCTGAGCAAGACTGAAAGGTTTCAAAGAGCAGTTATGACGAATGGGAGAATTCTGTGTCTGACTCCATTATCCTGGCATAGTGTCAACAGTGAAAAAAGTGGGCAAGTGTGGTCTATTGATGTTTTGGGCCGAAAATTCATATTAGGACTAGCCAGCATAGTTGATATAATGAAGGAGGTGATAGGAGTCACAGTCCAGAAACACCTATGGGTCCACAGTTGTCTACTTTCATCTAGTTCATTAACATGCTTTGCACTACAGAATAATTTAAAAATTACCAAACAATGGATTAATCATTCTGAATTTTTTTGTATCTATATTGGTTGGGGTCAAACAACATAGATCTGACTCTGGCAAGACAGACACAAACTGTGACAATTACTAGCATCCTAGATGTAGGTTGGGAGTCAGGATCCATGCAGAACCATGAGCCAAAAGACAAGTTAAAACTATAGGAAAAAATGTCCATGGTGGATAGTAACATTTTCTTCATTCATTTCCGATTGTGTCATGATTCAACTGTAACAGAAGTTGTCAAACAGATGTAAATATTATAAAGTATTACTTTGTCTCAATTTACATGTCACATCAAATCATGATTACATGGTTAGAGTGCAATTCTGTGGATGTTTTCTAAGAAATATATCTCACTGCGTTGAGTGGGGTTTATTCCCGGCAAGGAAAGTGTTGTTGCTAGGTGCTGTCAAGTTGCTTTAGACTCATGATAATCACAAGAAAAGAGTCCTTGCTCAGGTCTTAAAAACCCAAGGAGGTGACTTCCTTTCCTGAGTTAATCCATCTCATACTTGGTCTTCTTTTCCTGCTGCCTTCAACTATTCCCAGCATTGTTGTCTTTTCCAGTGAATCTTACAATGGGTGATAGTACAGTTTTGTCATTTTTGTTTCTACAGCATATTTTGATTTGGTGAGACAATCGAACGTGAAAATGGAATTAGGAATGTGTAAGGTTGCACTATTATAGTTTGGCATTAGGTTTGAATTGGCAAGTCATGATTTGTAATCAGGAAACCAGGGTGGATAAAATTTAATGATTTTTTAAAAAATAAAACTTTTAAAAAATTTAAATAATCATAAAATCTTTAATTTTAAATTGTGATTTAAAACAAATCCACCCTGCATCAAACTAAAGACAAATCACAATCTGAAATAAACAGATAAATGATGTTTTAGCACAGTAAAATAAGAAGAGAGATGCTGGATCAGATCACATACCTCTTTTCTGTTCTCATAGGAGTTAAACTGTTGCCTACAATGAGCCCACAAGCAGAGTATGAGTGCAGCATTTATATTCGATGTACAGTATATTAATTTCATGCTTCTGGTACGGAAGGTAATACATCGCTCTATATATTTTAGGATTGAATTACAGTATGTATTCTAGCTATGAGCTGTGTGAAGAAGTGTCGAGTCATTATAATGGCAATCTAAGCCTTGGCACCACATAAACTGGAAAACTGATATGTATATGGAAAATAAGAGCATGCCAGTAGTGACAAATCATGGTTTCATGATTGGAAACGCAACCCATCACATGGGTTCTAAATTGTGCTTAGAGTAATTTATGGTTTGATGATCGGTTCTGGTTTGGCTAGAGTTCTCTTAGTTACTTATACCAGACTATGTGCAATGATGTAAATATAAGCAGTGAATTTCTATTAGTTAACATACTGCCACTGTTACCCACAGGGGCTACTATTCCCTTGTTGTATCCCTTGTTGCATACCAACTCATGTGACTGGTGTGTAATGGAAGATACAAGTGGCAGCTTGTTAAACAGCAATTCACTGTTGCTATTATGCTGCTACCCAGTGTAACTAACCAAGAAGATTTTGACCAATCTGTCTCAACTGAGCCTTTGTTTTAACAGAAACAACTGTTTTAAATGGCTACCAATCCATTCAAAGAAGAGAAATGATGCAGAGTTTTAGCTACAGACAGAATAGCAGGTTATAATACCTAAATCTACAAAAAATATGATTTTACAAAATTGATACGCCAACCAAATTATGTATAAAACAGACATACTGGAATTCTTAGTGATTCAAGGTTTGGGCCCACAGACTGGGCTCTTTAAATTATCTGCCCAATATGAATAGACCACTGTCCAGCGATCAGGTTAGTTAAAGGAAAAGGGCTTTCTAAGCTACATATTTTTGAAAGTGTCTAGAATACGTTAGCAGGCAGGTTTTGTACTGATATTAAAATATTGGCAACTTTAAAAATCCTAGTGGTAGGTAATTACTTAAAATAGTTAAGTGGAACACCTGAGAAATTTTAACTTTTGAATCCCTCATCCATGGAAAAACAAGACATACCCCATCTGACTGGTAGCTTTGTGATGCTGTGAGCCCAACGAAATGGACCATGCTTTTATGAACCAAAGTTTCATTTAAGTTTACACAATCTCTTAATTCCTCTATTATAAATTCTGCATATTTTCACTATTTACTTATTATCACTTTCAGTCTGGACTGTGCATTCACTTTACACAGGAAATGCACAGGTGTTTGTTGTTGAGACTGCTCCTATTCAAGGATCCCTGAAACGAAGGGATGCTTCACTTGAATTTCTAGAGTAAAACTGCTCTAGTGCCATGATTGCCAAGGATGTCTTGTCTGCAAAACAGGATCCAATTCTACAACAGGCACCCCCCCCCCTTTATTACTCTTAACAGGAACATCGACATCCAGCAGGCCTCTTTTTCTGGAAAGCACGGTTCCGCCGAGTCACACCCTGACCGGTTTGCTACACACCTGGATGGAAGTTGTTTTCTCCAAGAAGCGAGTATATCCCATTTCCAGAACTTCAAGATGTCAGGCAAGGCAACCTAAGAGGCGGCGGGGAGAGTCGATAAGACTCGTGCACAGGTGGATCCCCACAACGGGAAGCAAGGCTGACTTGGCTTTAGCTCCGGAACCCGTGTTCCAGATCGGCCCCAAAACGCGAAGTGGAGGAGGAGGAGGAAAAGTTAAGTGTCACCGTAATGAAGCCTGCCTTTCCCGAGATCAATCACGACGAAGTCTCAGCTCAGAAGGGGTGACTTTCAGGGAAGTCGACGCGCCCCCCCCCCGGCGCCCCTTCTCGCTTACCACTGAACTCTGGTTAGACAGTTGCGGGGCGGGGGGGGCG